ATGCTCGCTATGCAAAGGGCAGCATGCACTCTGGAACTGTTCCGTGTTCAAAGAGAAAAACGCAACACAAAGGGCTAAATATGTAGCAGAACAAAAGCTCTGTTTTTCTTGTTTACAAGGCAACCATACCTTCCGAAAGTGCCAAAAGGCAAGAAAATGCCCAAAACAGGACTGTGAGAGCACTCACAATGTGCTTCTTCATGGAGCCGAGAAAGTTTTCCCGCCCAAAGAGGCCGACCGATCAAACTAATACAAACACTACTTCTGCAAACAACGCAGCTTGTGTTAAACCTTGTGAGGGAACTGCAAAAGGTATTCTTACCGTTGCGTTGGTAGATGTGTCCTCTGGTTCGGAAAATTCGAATGCACTAGCACTTTGTGACACCGGTTCCACTCATTCTTGGGTTTCCGCGGCACTCGTTGAACGTCTGAAATTAGTTGGCACGCCCGTAAATGTTACGACCGATGGTTTTAACTCAGCCAAGGTATCTAAAACTCAACGAGTTCACTTGAAAGTTTCCGCAAAGCCCAATGAAAGTGAATTTTCGTTTTCATTTGTCGCTTTTGTTAAGCACAACATGTATATAGGACCCGATGTTTTAAACGTTTCCGAATTGCAGGTCAAATACCCGCAACTAGCCCCGTTAAAGACGACTGCGTATAATTACAAAGAGATTGAGATAGTTATAGGACAGGACTTCTATCATGCGATAAGACCCCTCGAACATGTCTTCGGAGATGAACTTGACTCACCGTGCGCCGTCCGACTTCCGATAGGTTGGGTCATTAGTGGTCCGTCTCCTGATCGTTCGTCCTTAAATTCTTCTTCCTATAACTGCGTCATGGACGATACTTCTCTGACCGACCAAATCAAAACTTGGTATGAGTTAGAGTCGTATGGTGCGTTCAAGCAAGTAGATGCCCGTTCCGCCGCAGACAAGCGTGCTTTGTCGATCCTAAAAACTGAAACCGTTCACGATGGTGAGCGTTACACTGTACCGATGCTGTGGAGTGATAATGATGTTAGCTTGCCTAACAATTATTATTCTTCATTAGCCCAATTAAAGTCGTTAGAGAAAAGATTAGAGAAGTATACCGAAACAATCAGAGAAGATATAAGTAAAGGATATGTCATAACCGTCAACCCGCACGATCCCAGCTCACGAGCCGAACGTGAGTGGTATCTTCCACACCATCCGGTTTTGAACCCGAACAAACCCGGCAAGGTGCGCCGTGTGCTCAATGGAGCATCCACATTTCATGGCACTTCCTTAAATAGATCTCTCTTGGTTGGCCCGGATCTCCTTCAAAATCTTATTTTTGTACTGTTGAGGTTCCGTCAACACAAGTACGCCGTCTCAGCGGACATAGAAGGTATGTTCTTACAAGTTGGAGTACTTGTGCGAGATCAACCGTCTCTCCGTTTTTTGTGGCGTGAGGACCCCACTTCAAGTGTGGTGGTTCACCAATACACCCGTCATATTTTTGGCGCTCGTGATTCGCCAACTTGTGCGAATTTCGCGCTACAAAAAACTGCTTCTGATAATCAAGCTGAATACCCCGAAGCCGCTTCAGCCGTTGTCCAGAAGTTTTACATGGACGACTATCTTGACTCGTTCGAAAATACCGCTGACGCTCTTAGCCTAAGTAAAGACTTAGTCGCAATGCTCAAATTAGGTGGGTTTAACCTGACAAAGTTTGTTAGCAATGTACCCGAAGTTACAACCGCTCTTAATCCGGACAACCGTGAGTCCAACCCGTCAGTTAAGGATATTTGTAAGAGTCCAGACCAATCGTCGCATGTTCTTGGTCTCAGGTGGGATCATGTAAAAGATACCCTAGTAGTAAGTAGAGGTGTTGATCGACCACTAGATAAAGCAATTACTCAACGCACCGTGTTGAGTTTTGTTTCCTCAGTTTTTAATCCAATAGGACTGGTAGCTCCATATACTGTGAAAGCGCGCCTTTTACTAAAAGACATATGGAGAATCAGTGGTCAAAAGTGGGATGATGATCTCCCAGAGGAAATTAAACAACAATTTCTAGATTGGCACTCAGGACTTCCACTATTAGGCACTCTGACGATACCTCGAGCTACTTTACCGAACCGTTCGACCGCTGTGAACTTCACACGTTCGGTGATAGTTCGCAGGACGTTTTTTGCGCCGTATCGTTTCTCCGAGCCCGACTTGCTAAATCGCAAAAGACCGAGTTAGCTTTTGTATTTGGGAAAGCCCGTGTAGCGCCTATGAAGATGCTCTCCATTCCCAAGTTAGAGCTTCAGGCTGCTCTGCTTGCGACTCGACTCAAAGAAGAGATTTTGAAAGCGCTTACTTTCAAAGTAAGCAATGTATTCATGTGGACTGATTCTACCACCGTTCTCCAGTGGCTTAACTCGTGCAACAAACTTCCTGTGTTTGTTGGAAACCGCACTGGTGAAATCTTGGAGTCCACCACCATTGATCAATGGAATCATGTACTCAGTGGCGATAACCCAGCTGATACCGGCACACGAGGGATTTCTTTGGAAGCCCTCAAGGATAGCAGCTGGGTTAGAGGCCCTAGTATATTGAGGACATGTGATTGGCCATTCAAGCCGAACACTGATGTCATCAAAAAGATCCAATTAAAAGGCCCACTCTGTGACATTGATACATGCCTTGAGACTGCATCTACGTTAGTTGTTGATGCTTCATCTGAGAAAGCGCCGTCGATTCGTCTGTTTAAAAATTGGGATAAATTCAGCTCAATTGTAAAGTACAAACGTGTTTTAGCGTTTTTGCTTCGTGTGCTACCATCGCATAAACACTTCCGTACAAAAACGCTTGAAATAACCGACCCGTCCGAGTTAGATATTGCCGAGCAGAAGCTCATTTATCTCGCTCAGTCCGAATCATTTCCTGCCGAAGTGAAAATACTTCAGTCCGATAAACTGATAACAAAGAAAAGTCGGATTGCTAAATATTCTCCGTTCATCGGCCCAGCTGGCATCCTGCGTTCAACTGGACGTATCAGCCGTCTTGTTGATACCGACTTTGATAGCAAACATCCAATAATACTGGATGGTCGACACCGAGTTGCTCATATGTTGATTAGGCATATGCACTTTCAACATGCACATCAGGGGTTGGATTACATGCGTGCTGTAGTTCAGTTGAAATACATTGTTCTGAAGTTGCGCTGGTTACTTGGGAACATCGAAAATACTTGCATAACATGCCGTAAGCGCAAAGCAAAAACAGTTGTGCCCATTATGTCTGACCTACCGATTGAAAGACTGGGTTACAAGCAGCCTCCCTTCTCCAACACAGGTGTTGATTACTTTGGCCCGTTTCAAGTGCCAATACGCCGAAGTACCGAAAAGAGACGGGGTTTCCTATTTACCTGCCTCACGACTCGAGCAGTTCACATCGAGTTGGTTCCATCTCTCGATACTAGTTCCTGCGTCATGGGCGTAGAGCGATTTATTGCAAGGCGAGGTACCCCCAAAACCATTCTTTCTGACAATGGCACGAATTTTGTTGGTGCTCAAAAGGAGCTCCTATCCTGTGTCCAAAATTGGAACAAAGTCGCCCCGGCCGTTTTCGTCCACAAAGGCATTAAGTGGAAGTTTAACCCGCCCAATGCCCCTCATCACGGTGGCGCCTGGGAGCGGCTAGTGAGAAGTGTTAAGCGTGTGTTGTACGACATATTAGGCAACAGGAGATTAACTGAGGAAGTTCTAGGAACAACGCTCTGCCTAGTTGAACAATTACTTAACGCAAGACCGATCACTCCGGTCAGTTCCGATCCGCACGACCTAGAGGCACTCACCCCGAATCACTTCATTCTCGGTCACAGCGCAGCTAGCTTCCCGTCGTTAAGTTTCGAAGATAACTTTGATTATAAAAAGCGTTACGCCAGAGCACAATCGTACGCTAACGCAGTTTGGTCACGCTGGCTGCGTGAATATGTACCATCTCTCAACAAGAGAGCAAAGTGGCATAATGATTCGGATGTCACACTGAAAACCGGCGACTTGGTTTGGGTAGTCGAACCCGACAGCCCACGTGGGCATTACCAACTCGCCCGTATTGCTAAACTACACTACGGCAAAGACGGATGCGCCCGATCCGCCGATATCAAAACTGTTACGAGCGAGCTGATACGACCGACCGTAAAACTCGCACCTGTTCTTCCGTCTTTAGGGGCGGAGGATGTTGCAGCGCAAAACGTAACTAATGCGTGAAACATAAATCGTTCAAATTTAAAACTACGACCTACAAAAATGCAGTTTTTTTGCACTTTTGCAGTTTCTGCAAAAGTCAAGCTGGTTTTTAATTGCTTCAAAAGTCAAGCAGTTTCGGAAAAAGTCAAGCTGGCGTTGCGTTCGATATACGATGATGTAAGTAAAAAGTTTGAGTTATAGTCGTTTATGACTGATTATGTCCGTTTATTCAAAAATTGTGGATATATTCCGATTTATGACCAAACACGAGTATTTACCGAGAAATACGAATAAAATATTGATTTTAACTTTGTTTTGTGGAGATTAGCGCACATTTTGGCGCCCCACAAGGGACAGATATTAGTTAATTCCCTTATAATAATCCGAGTTATTATTACAAAAACGGTTATACTGAAAAATTGCCTGCCATTAGTGTATTCTCAACCAAAACTGGAGGCCACAAAAAGGTATCAAATAAAGGACCGCTCCTTTTAAACCTTTAACTGATAGTACATTTTCCCTAAGTCTTTTGCATTGGAGTTCGAAACATTTGCAGCAATTTAAATCCGCTCGATTTTCTTGTCAATTTCCTGCAGTTTTTTAAATTCTATTGTAGAAAAAGTTAATAAGTTTCGGTTTGCTCCTAACAAACTCAATTAAACTTGTACTGAAAAGTAGTTCTAGCGTTCAAAAAGTATCTAGCTTGGATTCATTTCCTGTTTCAGTTTGTTATGTGCCTCTTTACACATCAATCGTGGGTATTAAAAAGCAAACCATTTCAAACATTTTTCTTCATTAATTACTTCTCAGAATTTGCTTCTATTTGATTATTGGAATCAGTGCGCCTTGAAATTAAAATCATCAAAAACCAGCAATTTTAGGTCGTGAAAAAAGCTGCAATTAAAAAATCAGCGATTTCGGTCACGAATTTTTCTCGTCATATTTATAAAAATTGCATAACGGGACAAAATTTTTCAATTAATTTCAAACTTTTCATTTAATTTGAGCAGTATAAATTGAAACGATTAAATAATTCAAATGTTTAAACGAATCTTCTTAAGAATTACCCCCCAATATTTCAAGTAAAAATTGGGGTAATTGTTAAGTATATTAAGATAGTAAAAATTTTGACAGATCAGATTGCAGCAATTTCTTTTGTAGATCAATTTTTTTCTTGTATATACTATAGGGGGGATTGTTAAGTAGATCCATTTAAAAATGTCAATTATTTAATCATTCCAATTTATACTGTACAATTTTTTTTGTAAGGCATGAAGTTGTCTGACAAAAAGTAATTGAAGATCAGTTTTTCCCGAATAATTCCTTTGACCAAAAAACATCAATTTCAAAATCAAGATTTTTTTTGGATTTTCAGCTTTTGATAGATATCCTATCCACTTTTTTACCATCTATAAACAGAAAAGGAGCATCACCACTCTATTTACTCACTTACTTCACCATTTGGAATAGCCAATCAGATTCGAGAAAACATTGGTTTTAAGAATCAGCCAATCACATTTAAGAAAAATTGGTTGGATATATCCTTTCGCCAGCAAAAAACTAAAAGATGTCTATTTATTTACAAAGATTGTTTATCCTGGCAGTTTAGACAGGTGAGTGAGTATGATTAACCCATATCATCCGGTCCGAGATTTTTGTCAGCTTCACAATCTTCAAAAATTGAAACAATCAAACGGTAAAATCAGTTGGTTTGGACAGCTTAAAGCGCGTTGATTGGTTGAGAGTTTTCTCGCATTCTGTCTTTCGCGCAAGGAAATAAACCCAATCCGGCCAGCGTCATTCCAGATCAGTCCCCTTGTTTTGTTACAGTCTAACTTGAAAATCACGAGAAACTAATCTTAACTGTAAAGTTTTCACTGAATCAGAAATTTGTAAGTTAGGTTTTCAGGCAATCAATTTCCAAAAAAATATCTTGAATTTCTTCAGAATATGAAGTTTTAAATTTTACGCATAGCATTCCAAGATTTTACCAAAAAATTCAATTTTCGCTAAAGGCGGGACGTTTACGGGGCTAAACTCCTTTTGAGTTTTTGGATTTTACCGGATTCCGCTGCAACAAAGCTCTCTACATTTCATATATGGAGTCTATAAAAAATTCTTAATGTACGTTTTTCATTTAGAAAGATTATTGTCCATACAAGAAAAATGGTTGTCATACAGTCTTTTATATGAAGTCTATGGAAACATGTTTATTCATACAACTTTCAGAGAACAATTATTATCCCGATTTTTTTAAAATCAATTTTATGGAATGGAAAAATTATCAAACACACCCATATACATATATGTAGATATAATTCAATAGATAGATAGATAGATAGATAGATAGATCGATAGATAGATAGATAGATAGATAGATAGATAGATAGATAGATAGATAGATAGATAGATAGATAGATAGATATATAGATAGATAGATAGATAGATAGATAGATAGATAGATAGATAGATAGATAGATAGATAGATAGATAGATAGATAGATAGATAGATAGATAGATAGATAGATAGATAGATAGATAGATAGATAGATAGATAGATAGATAGATAGATAGATAGATAGATAGATAGATAGATAGATAGATCGATAGATAGATAGATAGATAGATAGATAGATAGATAGATAGATAGATAGATAGATAGATAGATAGATAGATAGATAGATAGATAGATAGATAGATAGATAGATAGATAGATAGATAGATAGATAGATAGATAGATAGATAGATAGATAGATAGATAGATAGATAGATAGATAGATAGATAGATAGATAGATAGATAGATAGATAGATAGATAGATAGATAGATAGATAGATAGATAGATAGATAGATAGATAGATAGATAGATAGATATATAGATAGATAGATAGATAGATAGATAGATAGATAGATAGATAGATAGATAGATAGATAGATAGATAGATAGATAGATAGATAGATAGATAGATAGATAGATAGATAGATAGATAGATAGATAGATAGATAGATAGATAGATAGATAGATAGATAGATAGATAGATAGATAGATAGATAGATAGATAGATAGATAGATAGATAGATAGATAGATAGATAGATAGATAGATAGATAGATAGATAGCTAGTTAGATAGATAGATAGATAGATAGATAGATAGATAGATAGATAGATAGATAGATAGATAGATAGATAGATAGATAGATAGATAGATAGATAGACATACCCGGTTGACGTCCATACAAGAAAAGTGCTTCTAATACAATTTCTTAATAAACTTTTTACTAAACAATTTTCAAAGAAGAAAATTGTTTGATGAGCAATTTTTCAGTCTAATTTTTTTTCGAAAGTGATCTTCAATTGATTCGAAACTCAAACCATACAAATTAGTAGCAGTTTAGGTTTGAACAAAGTTTGAACAAAATAGTCATCATACAATTTCATACATAAAGTTGTATGATATACATTTTTGAAGTAAAAAATTTTGAAATCTTTTCATTGATTGCAAACTCGCTTCAGTGCCTAAATAAAAACTGAGCGAAAAAAAATTTGCGTACAAAATTTAATATTTTGTGTCTATAACGTAGTCCAGGGTGAATCTTTCTCCCAAAATATCAAAACATCACAAACGAGTGTTAGTTTAATTCAGCTTGGATTTTTTTATATTCTGATAAACCTAACTTTCTAAAAAGAACCTTTTTTTCTCAACCATCAAAATTTTCAAAGTAAAAAATTTCCAGCCATTCACAAAAAGTTACATTTTCGGTATAAAATTTTGAACAATGATAACCACAAATTACATGGCCAATATCAATAAACGCAGTTATCTGCGTAGTAACTGCCACTTACACTCTGGGTTTTCTTATGATAAGAATCTTTGTTTTTTTTGTTGTTGAACAGAACACAAAATTTTTAATTATTATGATTTTTTTCATTTTCATTTATGGAAAAAATGACTATCATACAATTTCATAGAGCATGGTAAAAACACTTATCATACAATTTTTGTGATAAAAAGTTTGACAAAAAACTTATTATTCATTTCCACAGTGTGCAAAAATTTTATTTTGCTATTTCTTTGTTTTTTTTTGGTCTATGAAACTGTATAAAACATAAAAAGTAGATGAAATTATATGTCTGTATAATTTGAACCAGCATAATTAAACTGATGGGTCTGCTTTTCTGAATATCTTTGCACTCTTGATACTTTAAACTATTTTATGACGTAATTACCGAAACAGTTTTTTGAATATTTTGAAAAATTTGGACTCTTCTCGTAACAAAAAAAGATTACTTCAGAACAGTTTTACAATGAATTATCGTTAACAGATGAACTTATTTGTCTTTAACTGAAGATAAGTTATGGCTGTTTCTATTTTTAAAAAGTTGTGAAAGATATCAGAAAACAAATTAGTTCAACTTTCAACTTGATGTGTTGCCTGTGGGATGAAAATCGAATTACTTGATAAGAGCTTTTTTATAGCACCATCTTCGAATTAGTTTTTGCCAGGAAAAAAATAAGATTGAATATAAAAAACTTGTTTGTGACGCACTTTTCAATAACAAATGAAACTTTATGCAGCTGATGTTAAAACTTAGCGGAAATTAAGTTTTCATTGTTGAAAAAAAATAACGGGGAAATGTTCGCCTGAAAATTGTTTCCTTGTTGAGTTTGACTTAAGTTTCTCCTTCTTTCGGAAGTCAAAAAGCAAGGTAAGGCAATTAAGCACAGTAGCTGTTTACATTTGATCTGTAGCTGAACTTTACAAAAACCAATGTGTTTCACAGTTGTGTTTGAACTTCAATTATGAAATAAGTTAATCATCTTTACTACCAAAACTTTTGTTTGTGTTTTCTATAAATCGAACGGCAAATAGCTTTAAATTGTGACATTTTTGTCTTCAATTTAAAACACTTTTTTTCATCTCTTGAATAAAGGACCAGACGGTCTCATGGCTATCTCTCAGACTAATGTTTAATGGTTGTTGTAAATGCGGTTTATAACAAACACTACTGAAATACTAGCCTAAAAACTATTTATTATTATTTGTTTCTTTCAAAAAAAATATTTTATTTGATTTGAGTTTTTGGATACTATTTTGAAAATATAATTTCTAAGGGCTTTTATAAGTTTAATTATTGTATGGTATCAGATTTATTCCGCTTAAAAACGTCAATCTGATCAGTGAGAGTCAATTATTTTCCTACTTTCAGTAAGAAATAATGTTTATGTAAAGTTTTAATTTGCGACCGTTTGTTGTAGATTTGCATTACCAAATCGATAGGATAAACTATTTTTTTTAAGAAAAAATTTGTCAAACTAATTTTCCTTTTTTAAAAACGCATCCCCTCCCAGCCCAAAAATCCTCGTTCCGAGATGCAATTTCAAAAGGCCATCAATTTAATCACTAGTAACACTACTAATACCTGATTTCAACATTTTTCAGAGTTAATATTTTTGCTTAGTTTGGATGAGAACACATTTTGGGTACATTTTGGATACAAGTTTTGAGTGAATTTGACACAGCGCCCGAAATAAAAATGGTCGATTTGTTCACGCTTTTCTTTCCGGGGCCATTATACGTGACTTAGTCAGGCTGAATAGATAGCAAATAAGCGTGAACAGTCATTTGATTCACTGGTCCATTAAACCCAGCTTAATCCGTTGGTATCTATAGAAAGTGATAACTCTAGATATGCATCGAGGGGAACGGAGGGTAAAAATGGGTAATAAGTACTCAATGAAAGCATGGTTACCGTATATAAATTTGAAGTTTCGATTCTGTTATAGTTTAACATTTTTGATGTTTTACAGACCTGAGTACAGTGCTCGAATCAGATTGTGTGAAATTTACCAAAAATTAAAAAAAACTATTGTGAATAACGATTTTTAAATTTCTAGGTTTAGCCCGTGCAAAGGAAAACACCACACTTCGGAACTTTGAATCTTTTTGTTCAACTTTCGTAACGAAAGTAACGGAACCTTTGTGCTCGGGGTGGGTTTTTTTTTCTTCAGACAAATTTCGACTTTTCAACCAACCATTTTTGACGGGATTTTCTTATATCTTTCAAAAGGTATTGTTGTCCTGAGCTTAAACTTGAAAAGATTTTTTACTTGCGATTGTTTTTCGTAAAGTAATGGGGGTTTAAAGATTGCCATTTTGGCCAAATTGGGACAATTAACGCGCGATATATTTCGCGTTATTAACGCGTAAGCGGAGATTTAATTCGTCTTAGAAATCGTTCCAAATTGGTTTAAGGAAGCTTATTTGCCCTTGTTGATTTCTTACTAGGAGCCAAATCTATCACTTTCTACTTTATATGGCGTGGGGGGGATGAATTTTACAAAAAAAAGTTTAAAAAAAAAGTCATTTTAATGGACTACATTTATTTTTTTCATGTTATTACTGATCCATAGACCTTAAGAGGCATTCGGGACGTTCAGTGCTTCTCCCTGATACAAGCAGTTTTGATTCTTTTTGTTCCGACTTTCAAAGAAAATGGAGTTTTTATGCTCGGTGTGGTTTTTTTATTTAGTCAATTTTCATCAATAGAAATAAAATTTTTCAACAAAAATTGTTTGTTCTCTGTTAAAGATATCGACTTTTTGAGTTCAAAT